TTTCAAGGTTCATCCATGTCGTAGCATGTGTCAGTACTTTATTTCTTTGTATTGCTGACCAACATTCCATTGTATGGGTATGCCACATTTTATTTATGCATTCATCAGTTGATGAGAATTTGGGTTGTTTCCACCTCTTCATTATTATGACTAATGCTGCTATGAACATTCCCATAATGTATTTGACTAGACATATGTTTTCTATGCTCTTAGGTATGTATTAGGAGTGGAATTATGAGATCATAGAGGTAACTCTTTTGAGAAACTGCCTATGTCCAAAGCAGCTGCACTGTTTTACATTCCCATCAGCAGTGCACGAGGAGGGTTCTTTCTCTACATCCTATATAACAAGTGGTCTCTCTTTTTTCTTCTAGCCACCCACCTTAGTGGGATGCGAAGTGGTTTCCTTTTTTTTGAGACAGAGTCTTGCTTTGTCACCCAGGCTGGAGTGCAGTGGTGAGCTCTCAGCTCACTGCAACCTCCGCCCCCTGGGTTCAAGTGATTCTCGTGCCTCAGCCTCCTGAATAGCTGGGATTACAGGCATGAACCACCACACCTGGCTAATTTTGTATTTTTAGTAGAGATGGGGTTTCTCCATGTTGGTCAGGCTGATCTCGAACTCCCAACCTCAGGTGATCTGCCCCCCTTGGCCTCCCAAAGTGCTGGGATTACAGGGCATGAACCACCGTACCCAGCCTGAGAAGTGGTTTCTTATTGTGGTTTTGATCTGCATTTATCTGATGGTTAATGAGATTGAGCATGTTTTCTTGTGCTTATTGACATTTGGAGGAATGTATATTCAGATCTTTGCCCATTTTTAAAAATTGGGTTGTCTTTATTATTGACTTGTAAAAATTCTTTGTATATTCTAGATACATGATTTCCAAATGTATCTTCCCATTCTGTGAATTGCCTTCACTTAATTTTTTTTTTTTCTTTTTTTGGGACGGGGTCTCACTCTGTCACCGAGGCTGAAGTGCAGTGGCACAATCATAGCTCACTGCAGCCTTGAACCCCTGTGCTCAAGCCATCTTCCCACCTCAGCCTCCTATGT